TCCAGTGTGGCGCTTTCCTCTTCTCACACCCGCAGTCCCACATGCTCCCCAGGAGGGAACGTGATGTCCTAGAGGCTTCCTTCTCACACCTTTGTGTAGGATAGGGGGGTTGATGCCCAAGATGCATCTGCCGCACACCCACATGTTCCCCTGAGGGAATGTGATGCCCCTGTCCTGCCTCACACCCACTTTCCCCTCAAGGCACCAGAATGCCTCAAATTGTTCTTAACCCCCTCAAGCTTTATGATTTAGGCCCTGATGTCCCATTTCTTTCTCTTCATTCAGTAGAGTTTTGAGGCCCTGTCCTTTCTCACCTCCTGCGTTCTCTACTTTACATCCTTCCCGTACTCCAGACACTTTAAGTGATGCTCGGTTCCTTATTTTTCACTCTTAGTTGAGCCCACAGGGTTGGCGGGATGCCCCAGTTCCTGCCACAATAAAAGTTTAATATGATTTTGTACATGAGATGAAAGCACTATCTGCCAGCAGAAGGGCCAGATTTTATATCATTTTGTTTGGCAAAGAAAAGACACACAAACTGTACATATGTTCAATTTATTGGACATATCCGTGTAATCCTTGTATACAAAATCATATACCTAGTTCTACAGAGCACATTCTCTCTGTATCTGTTTAAAAAACCACAACTTGCAGTTGCTGACTCAACCCTTAGGGGTACTGCTTTGTGAGTGCCCCTGTATGTATGTGAAAATGACAGGCAGCTGGTGACAAAAGGAGAAATAATTCTTTCTTTGTGGTAAAGTAAATTAACACCAAGTTAGTATCGTCTTCACAAATTTCTCTTTGTGTTTTTTGCACTGCTTCAAACTGAATTACTGACTAACTACATATGGTCAAATCCTACAATCCTTAGTCAAAACAACTCACATTGATTCAAATGGGGGGTTTTACCGAATGAAGACTGCAGAATATGGATCTGCCCTGTAAGGTCAAAAATCATCTGCAAGTGCCAAAAAAAAAAAGATAGACCCAAGAAAACAGTAGTATTGGAAGCTTTAACAGAACTACTGTTCTCCACAACTTCAGTTTCCTGATTCTGTAGTGTAACATCATAAATATTTTTATAATACAAATGAAGTATTAGTATGGGGTATGGTTAAATGAAGGTCTACAAAAGAATGGCATCTATCATATAATAATGAGTGGAAACTACATGGGGGAAATGTTTTATCTAATAACTTCGTTTCACAGATGGCATAGGTATGTGACTGATATGTAATAGATTATAATATTTTCTCTTTTGATGTTTAATTTTGTATTACTTGCAACTTTATGCATTCTTAAATGCAACATACATTAACAGTATCTATTTTATTAGGCAATAATCTTATGACTAAATTATTGCAAAATTAATAAGTATTTTTATTTTCTAACTAAAGGCCTGATTCTACAAAGACTTGAACACATGCTTAATATGACTTCAGCAGGTCTTGAAGTTAAGCATATGCATAAGTTTTTGCAGAACCAAGGCCTATGGTTGTCCTAGTAGTCAGACATTCCTGTGAAGCAATGGCAATAGAGGACATAATCAATGTTCTGGAAGATAATATCCCATCATTTTACTTTGGATAAAATTACAAGAGTGTGACCCTACATGTAGAATCATAGATTATTAGGGTTGGAAGGGACCTCGGGAGATCATCTAGTCCAACCCCCTGCTCAAAGAAGGATCAATCCCCAACTAAATCCCCAAATGGCCCCTCAAGGATTGAGCTCACAACCGTGGGTTTAGCAGGGCAATGCTCAAACCACTGAGCTAGCCCTCCCCCCATGTGTGTATGAGAAGACCCATTTGTATTATAGCAGGAGATTTATTGGATATGTGTAGTTATCGCGTTGTTTAACATAGAACATGCAAGTGAAAAAATAAAGTCCAAAGGGGAATTCCCAGTACCATTTAAGTCAAGGCAAAATTTCCATTGACTTCAATAGGGTCACAATTTCCCTCTTTATTTCTTGCAAAAAGTAACATATTCATTTCTTTAAATGACAAAAGATGTTACTCAAAAATAATGTTTTTATTGCTAATAGAAAATACAGTACCTTAGTGTGTGACTAAAGACAAATCTTTGGCAATTGTTGCTTTTTAAATTAAAGATTTCTGTATATTTATTTTTACTTAAAGATATTGGCTGAAATCCTGCTGCGTTAAAATCAATGGCAAAAATCCATTGATTTCAATGTGGCCAAGATTACACCCATACGGTCAAGTATTTTAATCCTAAATTTGGATAGTAAGGCTAGCTAGAGAATATGTAATGAATTCTGATATCAGAAAGAAAAAACATAAGTCATTACTTCATTGTTAGATTGTTTTTAAACCATTACAAGGCCAATAAAAACCAAAACCTGCAACAGTTAAGAGTATTCCTAGATCTCTATTAAGAGTGCTGACAGTATCATCAATTATTGCTTAATAAACAAAGTAATTAATTTAAAACTTACTAGCTTTCAAGTCCTTTACCAATAAGGTTAAATTGTTTTTTCCAAATAAAAAAGATCAAAATTGAAAGGAAAGCTTGTTTTATAACTTTACAATAAATAGAAACAATATAAAGCCTAAAAAATAATGGGTAGTGTTCTATTAAAGATGTTACCTAACCATTTAAATTTAAATATTTATACTTTATTATGAGCATTGACTATTCCAATGAATACTTTAAGTTGAAAAGTATCAAGTATAAATTGGAACAATCAATGCTCATAATATCCACCTTTTAAAAGCACTTTGATATTAAAAGGGATATACATACGTGCAAGTATTAAATTTACCAGCTTAGTTTTAGTTAGTACATGACATGGGTATGTTTCTGGCATCATCCCAGTCTTCATGCCTGTTTCATTTCTGTGAGCAGACAGGATAGGTACAAGAAACCTGGTATCAGAAGATATTAGCAAATTTGAATATCCTACTGATAGAGCAGAAGAGGCAGGAGATAGCACAGCTTATGCCTGCAATCACAAAAATCCCACACCCTTGATTTCTTGCTGGTGGGTTTTCTAGTATAGAAGTTAGGATTTAACAGTATTGTAATCTTTGTTTTGAAGGGCTGATAGACTTTTCAAGATCAGGAAGAAAATTTCTTAAAAGTTGATTGTTAGGGTAGGTTACATTTTGAGACTGTCAAACCAAATAATCTCCCTTTAAGGAAAACAATATTTTTGAATAAGATATGTCCTCATTTGATTGCTAATTTTTAAAATATTAGTGAGCAGGCATACAAATTTTCTTCCTAACATTTGCTTTATTTCATTGTTCTCTACAGTTGCGCCTGTATCCTCCAAGTTGTGCTGTGCATGTAGACCCCTTGCACCCATCAGGAGCCTCCTGATTTTTGCAGGGCTTTGTGCAGGATTGGGGCCTTGGACCATAAGTCTCAACTGTACTTGCAACAAAAGAACCATTGTTCTTTTGAAAATAGAGCAGAAACTAAGTAATGTCATAGAACAGGAAGAATAAGCTCTCTCTTTCCACAAAACCTGGGGCACCTTGTGATAGCGTTAAAGGTTACTCAACATGTTAAACATAATGTAATACTTTAGAATCTTTCATTCCTATCCATTCAAAATTTTTAACCGTTTTATTTGTTTCCTCAGATTTTTGTAGCATGTGAGTTCATTTTTCTACAGTTTAATTTTGTCTGTATACTTCCCTCTGAAAACAATTGTTTGTACACTCAATATTTTTCTATATTAGGTTTAATCTAGGTTGAAAATTAACAGCTGAATTTTCCAAGCCCTAGTAGTGGGGCCCAGATCTGGAAAGATGCTGAGCACCCAGAATTCACATCAACATCAATGCCGTTGGATGCTCATCACTTATCAGGAACCGAACAGGGTGCATCTAAACCAGTAGATAAGCACATAGGTATCTACATGTTGTTTTGGTTAGAATTTTCAAGAGTCACATTGTGTCTAACGATATGCATCCGAAGAAGTGGGCTGTAGTCCACGAAAGCTTATGCTCTAATAAATTTGTTAGTCTCTAAAGTGCCACAAGTACTCCTGTTTTTCTTGCGGATACAGACTAACACGGCTGCTACTCTGAATTGTGTCTAACTGTTCTGAAAATCTAGTCACATAATTGTGCCCAGACAGCGAGGGTTGTGGGGATGAGGAACTAGTGCTTGTGTGTCTGATTGGAATATTCAGGAAGATTTATGGGAATACTTTTGCTCTCTGGGTGTAAGGTTCCAGTCTCCTTAAAGCATGACTACTTTTTCCCTGGCACTAATGTCAGACAGGACCCTGGTGATCAATCCACACTTTAACTCAACATTACAGAATAGATGTTAGCTCTGTACCTTTTGAATGCAGAGTCCCCGGGATTGTAGATTAAGACAACTATCCTAGATCTCCTATTTCACTAAACCTGCCAAGGGTTTCACCTGGGATACTGCTAGGAATAGCCCACATTCTGGACTGTTGGACTTCTTGCAGACAGGGAGATTTTTGTTCTTACTTTGTACATACATTTTCTGCAAAGGAGACCACATAGGTATTAGTTTGTATAGTTGTTTTATTTAGTGCTATGTCTCATATTTCTCAGTTTTTGAGTTAGTGTTTCAGGCTAAGAAAGTTTCTCCTGGAGTTGGGAGCCAGAGAGGATTGATTGGTAGGAAGAGCTCTGCTGGGGGTGAAACTACTTGCAACAACATGAGGAGGAGGAGCTCAGAGGCCAGACAGATAGTCTTATCTTGTAAACTGGCTCTAGAAAAAGGAGATTAAAATCTCCTTCTCTTCAGTTAGCTGCTAATATAAAAATTATTAGCATACATTTTACAATGTCTTTGTTGGTTTCATTTAGGTATCATAAAAGTAGAATTAACACCAGAAAAAGTTAAGAGCTCTGCCTTATGTAAAATATATTTGTCTTGAAAATCCAAGAACTCAAATACAGTATATTTTTTCTTTAAATGTTATGTGATATTTGCTAAAGAAAAGTTCTGCTGCTAATATACAAACACAAATTGCTGTAATAAGGAAGACTAACGTACATTCATTTATTTGAAAGATAAATTTGATGAATGAGTTGTAACAGATTTTTTCAAAATAAGAAAATAAATGTACCATATGCTTATATTGAGATTCTTTCAAAAACAAAACATAAGAAAAGTTTAATGGAGCCCTTGGCTACAGAGCACTTTGAGTGACACAATACCCTTTCTGCTTCACGGTGGCAGAATATTTTAATTCTCATTCTATTTTGCTGGATGAAAAATGCATCCTGTGAACAAGAGTAACTTAGAACTTGTGCAAAAATGATTGCTTTTTAAAATGGTGTAATGTTTCTTAAAGAGAGAGCAAGTATTGGTGAGAATGTAATGTTTTTTCCTTCATTTAAAAGTCTTTAAGGAATATTTTAATAAAAAAGTTATTCATCCCTCTAGTCGTTCAAAGGTGAATTGTTCATCATTCTGTCTTGGGATTCTTTCCAATGTCACAGATCTTGGTGTCTTGATGAATACAAAGCATGCAAATAAGACCGTATCACAGTCATAATGACAGAACTTTGCTTGTTAACCAGAGTCTGGGGATATGGGCAAGACACAAGAAGTTAATGTAATGGTGAGATTTACTAGTTCTCAATTAATTAACAACTAACTAATATTTGGCTTTACTTCCTTTTTCTCAGCCTCATCTTCACTATCATCAACTTCCTGGATGACTAAGCCAGCAGAGTCATCCTCCACAACTTCTTTAGTTCTGTGTTCTTCACCAAAGTGCCACCTAGAATCCTTGTCCTCTTCTTCTGGTGAAAACCCAAGTGATTGTTCAGCCTCCAAGTCAATAGGAATGCTTTCTATACCAGCTTCAACCAGACATTCATTACACAGTCTGTAGCGCCTTGTTCCTTCTTGCACCACTTGCCCTGTCATGTCAGTCACGTGGCGCTTACACTTTCTGCAGATTGGCTTACAAGCCTGATGAATCTGAAAATTTAAATTTATAAAAAATATTATCCAACAGCAGCATAAAAATACAAGTTATTTTTCAGATTCTATCCCTTCAATTTAACAATTCTGTGATGTAATAGGACCAGTTTCCTTTCATAAGGAGAGACTGAAACTACAGCATGTACTTTAATAAATCTGTTACATATTCAGGGAAGAATTTTTGAGAAGAATATCAATTGCACAGTATAATCAGTACTGTATCCACATCTAAGTTGAGAGAGATATCTGCTGAACGTTCTAATAGGATGTAGAGCTTCTGAAAAAATGCTAGATTGTCAGCACTATTGATTAAGTCCTCTATTAATCCAAAAACAGAAATGGCACAAATTTCCCAGTACTACTCATCTTGCCAATAGCTTGGTCTACACTAGGTAAATTAGGACTCATAATTAGAGCCCTACTTAGATACAAATAATTTGTATCCATGCAGGGCTCTACTCTACTATACTTCACCACTGGTGAGTTACACCAGTTTTAGTAACAACAGAAGCTGTGGTGTAGAAGTGGGGTCAGGCAGATAGGAATTTCTGTTGCTATGTCATCTAACTCTTCTGTAAGGTTAGACAATCCAGTAATAAAAGGTCTTGAGTCTGGCCAGGAGAGACTATCTCTGAGACTGAAAAAGTAACTCAGTTTCCACACCTATTCAGTCCACAGTCTCTATGCTGGGACTTCCAGCAAGATTATCAATTAGTACAAATGTTGGTGTTGATTTTTGTGAACAGTACTGAGACAATCACTTCATTTCATCATAGATCACCAAACAGCTTTGGAATGTTATGTCTCTTGGTCACTATCAAAATGAGATAGATGTGAACTAGTGTAGAGATGAAAGGCCGTTACTAGAACCATGTGATTCAGGTGGGAGACAATGCAAAAATTACTGGAAAGAGATGGGAGTTGGTCAACAACATTCCGTGCTTTTTTTCCCTATGAAAACTAGGAATCAAATCTTGTTTCGGTTGGTAGTCTCATCATAATCCCTATAAAAAAAATGTCCACTTCACAAACAACTTCACAGTTGTGAACAATTAGCAGTCTTTCTTCAGAAGAGACAGAGAACTGTAATAACAGGATTTCCACAGGTCAGGACTGAGGTGTTTTGTCAGAATGATCCAGAAAAGCTTAAAAGGAGTTTACCCACAAACTGGGTCATTTCAGGGACATAACATTTTGCAAGAGGGAGAAAAGATAAACATTGGGAAACCTTTTAAAATACCAGACTAGAACAGGAAAACATTTAATTTGAGCATTAGTTATTCAATATATTCGTTTTCAGTGTTTGAATAATGTACAATAATTGACCTTTGTATTCTGAAGACACAAGTACCATGCTCATCTTAATAATCAGAGTTGTTCTTCAAATCCAAGCAATAATCACAACAAAATGGTTTATTTAGAAATGTTCAGAAGCAAATAGTCTAAAGTTCACCCTATTGATTATTTACAGAAGTGACTGGCAGTTTTATGCTACACACATTTTAAAAAAATCTGTTATATGTTAAAAAATATACATACTGTTCGAAAATGGCTACGCAGATGCTCTAGCCTTGTGAATCTTTTACCACATGCCTCACATGGATAGGGTCGCTCCCCTGTATGACAACGAAGGTGACGCTTTAGGTCTGCTTTCCGCTTCACCATATGGGTACAAAATGGGCACTTGAACCTCACATCATCTGTTACAAAATAGTCCTGTTAATTTCTAAAAGTTTCATGCTCTTTTTAGTAGTGGGGAAAAAAGCAATGACTAACGTTCCAAACCCAAATGAAGTGTATCAGACTTACCAAATGTATCAGATTTTCTGATGTATAAATGATATTTTGATTATGAACAGCAGAAGATCTAACAACTTTTTTAAAAACTGAAATAATTGCAGATATTTCCACTCAACACTGAATTTCTAACATGACTACGCACAGCATGAAAGAATCGCAGCCTTACTTGCATACCTTTAGATAATATATTTTATCAAAACCCTCATTAACTGGTCATGTACCAATCTGGGATATTTTCCCACCATGTTTTACCAGCATATTTGTACACAAAAAGTCTTTTTTCTAAACAGCCTTACTCTCCTGTTGTATTGTGTACAGTAGTGTTGACACAATCCAAGGTTTCTGACATTGGATTTTCTTACTATAGATTCTAGAAGCAACTGTCATATCATGAACACTAGATAGTGACAACAGTAAATGAATCAAGCAAACAGAATAAAATAGATAAAAAATAGCTTCTGTTTACACAGAAAAGTCTTGGTGATTGTAAGTGATAGAAAAAGAAATCCAGTAAGATAATGACAGTTTTTGTCTTATCTGAAATACTTTAATTATGAAACTCTGTCCCTCAATCCTCAGTATAGGACTTCCCTGCTGCCATCCATCCCTTAATTCACCTCAAGACCTACCTCATGGCAACCTTCTGTAGCCAAGTGTAGCATCATGGTGGGACGTTAAGGGCTAGCTTGCACCAGCACATTTGTTACATACTTCAGTCCCTTTGATAGTATAGAGACATGTGACTAGGAGGACAGCAAGGCCTTTTGGCAGAAGAGTCTGAGGCTACATCTACACTACAGGGGGGAGTCGATTTAGGATACGCAAATTCAGCTACGTGAATAGTGTAGCTGAATTCGACGTATTGCAGCCGACTTACCCCGCTGTGAGGATGGCGGCAAAACCGACCTCTGCGGCTTCCCGTCGACGGCACTTACTCCCACCTCCGCTGGTGGAGTAAGAGCGTCGATTTGGGGATCGATTGTCGCGTCCCAACGGGACGTGATAAATCGATCCCCGGGAGGTCGATTTCTACCCGCCAATTCAGGCGGGTAGTGTAGACCCAGCCTGAAAGAGATCTGGATGGTGGATCGGGGATTTTCTTCACTGGCAGACTGGAAGAAGAATGGCTATTAAGCTGTCACTGCCAAGGGACTGGGGAGGGAGCCTGAGTGGGGCAAGGACTGCTTAGAAATATTGTGGATCCCAGCAGCCAAGAAAGACTGAAAGAACTTTTCACAGACTCTGGCAGAAAGGCTGTCAAGAACCTGGTTAAAATGGAATAACTACTCACAGACCTCAGTGGGAGGGCTGTAGAAGTCGGAGGCTGAGGTGTGGATCCGAAAGGCTTTCCAGTGCAATTATTGGAGTTCAACTCGTATATTAATAAACCAGACCACAGAAGGGAGATTTTTTTAAATGAACTGTGGACTGTTCATGGAAAACTTTGAAAAATGTACTTACCTTCCTGCTAGCAGGTGAGACAGAGAAGGAACGGGTCAATTCCTATCCTATTTGAGAAGTTCTATACAGCTTGTTCTCTGCTTACCAGGAGATTAATTCAAACTACAGCATTGTCAGGCATATTCAATAACACACACATTTCCCTTTTAGTTTTTTCATGAGCAACAGTGAAATGGCTGCTAACTTTGCATTACAAAAAAACATAAACCCATTTTATTCTGCAGCCAAGTTAGTTTTAGTTTTGTACCACTTTCCTGAGATTGCCCATCAAATCAGAGACAGTTTGCTAGTGCCATTCTCTCTGGCGCTCTGTCTACTGTGAAAGTTCAGTACACCATACAGATTGCATTACAGCAGAAGAGGACGTTATTGAGGAAGGGTGGCATGACATTGACACCCTTATTTCTCTGCTGCTGCTGGCAGTGACACTGCCTTCAGAACGGAGAACCTGGCCAGCAGCTTGCCAGCCTTACTTCTGTGCTGCTGCTGGCGGCAGTGTTGCTTTCGGAGCTGGGTGCCGCACCAGCAGCTGCTGCTCTCCAGCCACCCAGCTCTGAAGGCAGAGCGGCTTCTCATGCCCCTCCAGAATACATTCCTTATCCCCCCCATGAGGGCGCCCCCCCACCCCCAGTTTGAGAACTTCGGATTTAGAATATATCAGTCATAAGACAGCCTGATGCAGATGTGCAACAGAAAAGTATGACTGAACCCTTTCTCATTGCAAAGGGTTTGGTGAATTTCTAGGAGGCAGTGCCTAGCAAAAGAGGTCACATACACAGGGGAATGAAGTGCCAAAGAAGACACCAAGATCTTATTAAATATATTGTTTTTTAATTTTGGATGTATACAGAAGGTCTACCTGGAGTTGTGTGTCCACCCCCTTAATTTCTTATCAAAGGAAAATTCATGCTACATAATAGGAAAAAATCCTGAAAATATATAAAGACAAAGGAATGACCTTTGCAAGGAGTCATCAAGACATCATTATGTATAATCTTTTCAAATGTATTAATTAGCTGACAAATGAACAGTTTATAAGTAGGGCATAGGTTATTGCAACTCCATGGTATTCCCTTTTTGAAAGCAGCAAAAGCTATAAAAACCTAGGACTTGACAAGTTTTAGCACCTGGAAGTTAGATATGGTATTACAAACTCTAAGCGAAGGTACAGTAGCTTGATCTCCTCATTAAGACTGCCTTTCCTGTAATTACGTGCTCAGTTAGTTGTAGAACAGAACTTTATGCCTTTAAAGTAGTAGCTCCAACCTATACAGGCTTTTATATCCCACACATCACTGTGGTGTATGTGCTTTCTGGTAGCTCATTAAGTGATGTGACTAGCATCTATCATGTATGGTTCTTTCATTCTCCCTTTCTCTCCCCAAAGGGAAAGTTATGTGAGATTTTTTTTAAATATATAGTGTACTTTATAATTTTTAAAAATTGATTAAATTTGTTTTTATTATTGAACCCAAGGTCAGTGAAGTGCACCAGTCATCCACTGAGATATGATAATGTAGATTGGAGGATCAGTCCACCCTTAATTGCTAAAACTGGATGATTTGTTGAAAACAATTATTAATTTCCCCTTAAATTCAAACAATTAGAAGGAAATCTTGTCTAATTAAGAAATCAAAAAGAGCCTATAACTCTAAACAGTAAAGAATCAAAACAGTTTTTTGCACTATCTGGTACAGTTGTTTTTCTGCTTGTAAGTATCATATAACAACATATTTGTACATGCATTGATAACAATTGAAATGTGCATTTTGCCCATGGCAACTATACATTTGCAGAATCCTGTTAAGGAATTAAGATCAACAACATGAAATATTCTTTCCTGAAGGAGTGCTATGTATTTTTTCACCTATCTTTACAGCATACCTGAGAGAACCTACAAGTTTGAAGACTCTCTTTAAACTAATTAGTGGCCAGTTTACATTCTAGTCTAGCAAAGACACATATCAGCTACATTTAACACAATGCACTCTTTCACTCATTGTTATCAACTAGATGTTTGGTCTTCTGCTAGGATCATCTTTCTGTTAGAGGCTGTTCAATGTAGTAGTCCATCATTTTACAACTCTTCCTGTAAAAGTTGGTATTAGCACTCAGTGGCATTGGAACAATTTTAGTAATAGATATGCTGAAAGCCATTGAACAAAATTGTAAACCCTATATATGTCTGAAACCACTTCGAGCAATGGGGGTGCAGCACCCTAGTGCCAGCACCTGTTAGCACTGCTAACCAATCATGGCATTCAGCATTGGTAAAGGTCTGTCTCATCTGTCCTTAGAAGTAACAAATGCAGGACATTGTTATTAGAATAATCCTTTCTATAGGGAACTTATTTTTAAAGTTTTCAGTGAGGCAACAGCACTTCCTTAAAAGGGAATCCAAGAAACAAAGTAAATAATGTCTTCCTAGAATGAGAAATTCAGGATGAAACTGACTGGCTGCTGCTACTGTAAGAATTATCACATGACGATTCATAGCAATTTTTAAAATGAGCCTGACAGAGTTTATAAATTAATATGGACAAATAAATAAAAATCTGTTCATAGAAACAATATAAAATGTAACTTTAATTATTTTACTGGAGCCTCATTTATCAGGAATTCAGTCATTACAATGACTTATCAATATGGGAATGTCTGAATGATTTGCAGTCTAAAAATATAACCATGGAATACTATCGGGCATTAGTTAAAAAGGTGATTCAGATTTCACTGTAGTGCATTACTGTAACTAATTTTTCAGTTTCTAGAGCTGATCATTTTTATTGAGTTAAATGTTCAATCAATTTCTGGGCCAAAAATTCAGCAGAAAAAAACATTTAAGAACCCCTAGTAGTGAAGGAATAAATGTTTAGTTCACTCTTACCTTCAATCCAACTCCCCATAACACCTAAAATTGTGGGCATATTTGCATATAGCTCATCTGCTTTTGATGATTTAGACTTGTTGGCTGATCTAGATGATTCATGCTCCTGTTGGGTCTCTAGCAAGCTCCTTGGCAACACCTCTGATCTCAGACCATGTTGATACCCAGCATGGGCAAAGTCAACTTCTGTATCAAGCTGAGTTTGCTCTTCAGATTGAGAAATGTGGCTAGTAGGTTCTGAAGCTCTATCTCCAAGTTTCCTTGATTTACAATGGGGGACGTCAGTGGACTGTGGCAATCCAAGATGCCTGATACGTTTTTTAAAGGAATGCCGTCTTTGAGTCTGTTTGGTCAAGTGAGATTGTTGGGTGTTCCTTTGTGAAGCTGAGTAGTAGGTGTAATTACTCCAGGAATTTCCACCCACCATAGATACCCCTACATCAGAGTCCATTTGAGAATGCGGAGGACTGCTTTCTACTCTCCATTCTGTGCTATATAAGCATGGACTCTCAGTTCCATTACTGTTCAGATCTTTTTCTGAAAGACTGAAGTAGCGATCCTTCTCCTTCTCACTGATGTCCAGTGAAGATTTAATGAAAGTCTTACAAACACTAATGATATCTGTCATCTGCAGGTAGCTGGCAGCTGACATGACCTCAATCACATTTTGACCAGTAAGAGATAACTTGCCTGAATACACAAAGTCCAGAATGACCATAAAAGTATCAGGGGAGAACATGTGAAAGGTAGCAGTTGTTGGCTGACTCATGTCTTTTGAGCTCTGAGAAAGGAGCATTTTAAAATAACCACTACTGGCAAACAGCACATTTCGATGTGCTTTGAAGACCTTCCCCTCAACCAGGATACTGCAGTCACAGAATAAGTCTTGCCTGCGCTGCTCATTCAGTTGCTGTAGGAGGCGAGATTGATGAGAAGAAATATCCATTCCAGAGAAGGGCAAACAAGAACTACTCTAAAAAAAATTGAAAATTATATTTATAAAATGTGCAATATGAAAGAAGTAATCTCTGATTGGCGGAGCAAAGATTTTACTTCTGTGGGTATTCCAGTAGTCATTCCACCTCACGATGGGATCTTGGCAGATTTCACAAACTAAGCAGGGTTGGGTTTTGTCAGTACTTGGTTAAGAAACTGGGGAAAATCCAGGTACTGCCACAAATGATGTTGTAATTTCAGTAAGTGGTAATCTTTTTTCAAAACCAATAATGAAACAATGCACTAGCTTGATGCTATGGGACTCTCTGTGGAAGGTGTTGCCTTTCAGAGAAGAACCTGACCACTTGTGATCACTAATATTCCATTTTGTGTAGGAGTTAAGTGGTCCGAGCCTATAAAGTCATGCCAAATTCCCACTGGGATATTTACATTCTGCCTTCCTAAAGTCACCCTCCATTTTCAGTGGATAATTTTATTGCTCAATTCCTATTCTAAATTGTCATGCATTATTGATGTGTATTGTTAAAAGCTGCTGTGTAACACTTACCAGTGGGTTAAGTTATTCCTGAATATATAATTTGGAAAGGTCTTATAGATTCCTGTGGGATGAATGGTGCTACATACATGTAATTTTTAATACACAAATAGTAATTTCTCAACTTTGTTGCCTAAGAAGTGACAAAAAAAATCTAGTTGAGTAATATTTTTTAGAAGTGTCCAAAGTGAACAGTCTTTTATAAAGAGTGGGTGATGCTGGAACATAAAACTATCATCATTTAGCCACTGAAATTAACACCATTATTTTGAAATAGAATATTTTAAAAGCACTATCCCATTTTTGGTAATCTAATATCAATTTCTATTGAAAGAAAATATAAGCAGCAGTCTACTATGTCCTTACCACCAGAATTTTCTCTCCACTACCCATTCCCTCAAGAGCTCATGTCAGAGCTACCTTCTTTGGCAAAAAGGGCTGGATATAGGACTGGCTTTAGTATCTTTCAACATTGCTCCTTAGTTACACGAAGATCACTGCAGAACAATGAAAGGTGCTCTCTCACCAGGAGCTGGCAAATTCTGCAGTCCTACCAGTCCATAAAGCAAGATATAGGTGATGTAAATCCAACACATATATTGAATGGTCAACCACTCGATTACTCTGATTGCCCCACACCAATATTTTTAGTGAACAGATATGAAATTATCCCTTAAAAATATAAAAGCCAGGAGACCCTATGATGGAATAATACAGTTTGGGGGTACTATATATATTTGTAGATTCTGCAGCATATTGGGAATAAAATTTAAATGACTGGAAGTTTTATGAAGTAGTGTTTGAAAAAAATCTAGAGTTTATTGCTCTTAAAAATAGAGTGAAATTCAACAGCAGTGTATTAATGACAGTCATCCCAAACTATCATCAAAACTAAGTGATACAAGACACACTATGAACATGATCTTCACAGTTCAGAAATGTATTTTAAATCTCACAATGCATGTTCAGAAGACATCAATGAGCAGGAAATTAAATCAGTATGTCAGATTACTGTTTTAGTGTACATGCACTATATGGTAAGCTGCAAGAATCTTCATCTCCTTTCCTCCCCCTCTTCCCCCACTGTGCTCTCCACATTTCTGACAGAGTCTAAATGGTCCTTTTTCTTTCCACAGTGCCATTCTCTACTAATCCAGAGAATTAGAGTCTAGACCAGAAAAGATGAATCTGCATCTCCAGCACGGCAGTGCAGAGAACTGGGATGGTCATATAGTAAGTGACTAGACTATATAGAACTATATATTATATGGGATGCTGGTGATGTGAATGGTTCTTTTTCAGCACTTACAAGTATTCTCCTGACTACTGTACTCTTCTCTCAATGAGGCATGCAAAAGAGAAAGTATAGATTTTTTTTTTACTTCCATGTAACTGTGTTAAATGGAAGCTAGGTGAAGAACACTCTCCATATCAACATTTCTATTTTAAACCTAAAGAGACATAAAAAGCAGATATTCATGGTTAAAGTTTCAAATAATTTTATTTTTGAACAGTCATATTAAATCAAGAAAAATATTTTATTCTTACTATTATATAGAAGTGAACACAGACCAAAAAGAAAACCAATAAGAATATCTGGAAGACTTAAGAACCTAAAGTGACAATGATTTTTAATCATGTCACAAAAGGAAAATAAGCAACCCCCTACCCAGCCCCACACAACAGGAAGATGAACTACTATTACAACAGAATGAATATCAATGCATGGCAGGTGCAACATGGATTCCTTATGTGAAAATGGAGAAACATAATGCTAGCTTTTGCTAAACATGTGTGGTGACGTTCACTGGTGGCTGGAAACAGAAATGTTTGGCAACAAAATGATGAGGTCTTTGTCCTGAAGTGGATATAAGACTGCACTGATGATGCTATAACCTCTTTATCCTTAGGCTACTGCTTGAACTAAAACCTTGGATTTGTCCGGATGTCAGTAATATTTGTATCAGACTCCTTAAAAACGAATTTCAAATCAGAAGAGACTAGATGGCATACTTTATTGTGTCTGGAAAGCACCTTTCAAAGTCTGAAACACATACCTGTTATTACTGACTTTTTAAAAATCCCATTCAGCCTTCTTGCCTTTCTGTGTAAGAAATGAACAATGAATTTATTAGCGAGAAGCTAGAGGTATTACATTTACATATGAGTAAAGAATACATTTGTGAGCAGACTCAACTCGCTTGCTAGCAATCTTCATGATATACAGGTACAGTCGAATAAATACTCATCAGTAAGCAGATACTGAAGGGATGTGGCGCTATCAAATTGAATAGAGTCGAGATGCTCTCTTCCAGCTCCCTGAGCCGGTGTGAGACCCCGCTGAGGTGTGGACGGGGGGGATTTCTGTCTCTCCCCCGTCACAGGGAAGCGGGTTGAGAGAAGGATGGGATGGACACGCTGAGCGAGGGACCAGGGGCGCTCGAACGCGCAGTTCTCTCCGCAGCGGGGCCGGCCAGTCCCTCTCTCCGCCTCCTCCTGGCCGAGGGGACCAGCGCGGCACAAGGCGGCAGCAGCCCAAACTCCCAGTGGACACCCGAGCTACCAGCCCCGGCTCCCGCACCACGGCCTTGGGGACGGGCGCTGTCACTCACCCCCACGCCCAGGCTGAACCGGTTGCTCAGCCATCGGGAACTGGGGTAGGACTAGGGACGCCCGACGGGGCTAGAGTCGCCCGCCGAGCAAGGCCGGTACCTTCGGACTTCGGAGCCAGCGGTCCCCGATCGGCGCTGCCGCCCGCCTGGCTTAGCGGACAGAGCATCAGTGCCCGGGATCGGGCCACCGCGCCAGGCGGCTTGGCACGGGGCTGCCCCATCCCCGCAGCTCCGGCGCCGCTGTCCGCAGCCTCCCGTGTGCGGCTCCGCCCGGGACCGGTGTATCTGCACGAAACACAACCCTCCCCTTTTGCAACTGGGTGCA